CGGATGCAAGAATCTAGTCTTCTCATCGAATCCCGAACTCTTTCAAAAACACCAGGATCGTTTCTGACTGCGTTACACCCAACAATTTGAATGTCTGCAGACGTTTGCAGTAATCGGAATGTTGTTGATAGGTACCCACGGAATTGAATTTTTATTACTTGGTAGGTCCAGTGTAGTACGCTATACTTTTATTTCGGCTACGTTGATAATTTTTTAATTACCAAAATTGTTATTGTCGAAATTTTTTTTCGTCCCTTCTAAAGTTTTTAGAAAAATACTCTTTTTCGAATCTTGCAAATTACGTTGGATTCAAGGAAAAAGCTAATATCCTCAAGATATGTTTACAGGTAAGAAAAATGGTGCGTCCAAGACAAAAACCCCAAAGAGGTGAACATACACAAAGTAAGAAAATGAAGTGAACAAATCATTCCAATCTGGTTGTTAGAATTTTTCCAACAAGTGATATGTTGTTGTCACCCATAATTGTCGGGTATTAATGAAAAAGGGTAATTTATGGATTTTAACTATCATGGGGAATAAACTCATTTAATCAGATAACATTTTATTTTCACTTTGCTCACGAAGAAATATTTAATCATTTATGGATTTTTCATTAACATAAAAGTCCCTAGCTCATCATATTTTGCTTTTACCTCAGTAGCCATATAATAAATATAAATGCATTCTGATTGAACATTAAATATGCATTTTTGCTTGTTTTCATCTACTAACTGCTTATTTTTTATCCGTATTTTAAAATTAGGGGAGCTCAAAAATTATTTCAGAAACTTTTTTTTGGTCATAAATAAATATCGGTCATGTGTATGTTTGTCATTTTCTCAGAACAATAGTTTTTTGGTAATAGAACCAAGTTATATGGTGCAGAAGGCCTTGTAGATTAAGACTACAAAGTCGCCAGACCTACGTCATTTCAGCGAAGCTAATATTTGGATAGTAAAGCCAAGCTAGAAATTTTTTGAAAATAAATATGTTAAGAACGGATGTGTACATCCTACCTTGAAAGCAAGGTTCTTTCAGAGATATCAGGTGATTTTATTTTTAATATCTTCAAGCCTCATGTCACATCACTCATCACTTCTATTGATAAAATACTTCAAATGAGATTTTTTATACAATGGGTCTTTAAATTTACCTCAATTGTTGTATTCAAGATTTCATTTATAAGTGTTATTTGTTGTATGAGTGTGATTACAAATAATTTTTTCTTAAAGATCTTGAGAATGTTAAGCTCATTAGATACTTTGTTTCTCAATGGTGTTATTCCAAAGATGGGTGACATATGAAAAAAAGTCGTTGATCTTTTTTCCAGGAACCATATTGATTGTCACTTAAGATGTTGGCTCAATATTTCAAAAATATGTTGATTTTACAGCTATCTCCATGAATTTCGATATAACTGGTAGTAAAGCAACTGATGTATAGTCATTTGTAATATTTGTTTTATCCGTCAAGAGTATAGGTTGAGCTTAAGTGATTTTCCAAAAAGTAGAAAAACACTTTTTTGTAAAAAAGGTTGGGTCATGACACCCATTCCAACAATCTTGTGCCCTGTACTAGTTCAGATCCCTTATTGGATGTTTGTGAACATTGTGGACACAATCTTGGTTGTCTATATCAGTGGTCGCCAACCTGTCGATCGCGAGCTACCGGTAGCTCGCGGAGGCAATTCTGGCAGCTCTCACAACGATTTAAATTAAAAAAATACAAACTGCAAAAATCAGAGAAGCTTCCGAAAATTACACAAAAAAATCTAATTGTCATAATATTAAACATAAACAGCGGCAACGTTGCGGTGAGCGATCTGCCGCTGACGCCATCAAGCTAAAATCGGCTAGAACCGACCAGCCGGACCAGCGCGTTAGTGTTCGAGAACGATCTGGA